CAGCGCCAGCCAAAATCAGACCCGCGGCCTCCTGCGGCAGCCACATCTCTTGCGGGTTAAACAACAAAAGATGAACTCGGTCGGGGAAGCAGTTCATTCCCCCGAGCCTTAAACAGAGCTGCTCGAAAACACGCACGTGTGTCCCGGTGCAAAGTGACGGTGACAGAGGAGCCGGCGAGCCCCTGCTCCAGGGAGCCTCTCGGAGGGCAGAACAGCTCCAGGGAGAACCTTGGCCAACAAAGCTCCATTTCCGACATGTAGAGGAGAAATGAAGTGAAAAGAAGGAAAAGCCTTCTCCTCTGGTTGTCCTCTTGAGGATTTCGCTTTGGGATTTATGGCACCAGTCTCTAAATTAAGTTCTTGGGGAGAGTGGCTGTATTTTGGCACACAGTGATTTTCAGCACTGCCCAACCTGAGCACTAGTTTTAGGTGTCCACGCTGTCCCTTGCACCTGGGGATTCAGTATCTGCAGCCTTACGTTTGGAGATGGAGCCTGCAAAATACGGAGCATCCAGGAGCATCTGCAGGCAGCTGAGCTGGCAGCAGCCCAGATGTCTTGCCASGATGAAGCTTCTTTGCTTCTCAGCACATCTTGCTTTTGCACCACCGTTAGTTTCAGGCTGCAACCGTAGGCAAACGCTGCCCGTTTCCCCGGCACGGCGCTGCCGGTCGTGTGCGGCTCACCCAAAATCCAAGCAGAGCTGGTTGCTGAAGGCTCCATCCCCAGGGTACCCAAAATACCGGCAGTGCCGAGAAATCCCCACTGTGAAATTGCGGCTCATCCACGTGTGGATCCGCAGGCAGGACCAGCGTGGTTTGGGGCCTGATTTGCATCAGGATTATTTCCCCTGTCACAAGAAAAAAAACCAAACCAAAACAAAAAACACCCTACCAAAATGGTAATGTGCCAGGTTTCAACCATTTTATAAGGAAAGAAAAGCTGTTTCTATAGGGCACGGTGTAGGACCCGGTGGCCGCGGGTCCCGGCGCTGGGATTTGCTGCAGTTGTAAAACCCCAGCCGGGAACCAGGAGCCGCTTTGGGTTCCTTTGCTCGAAAATAGAGCCGAAAACCTTGGTGGCTTCACTCTGCATGTCTGCAAAGGTCAGAGCCCTCCTATAGAATCTGTRCATCTCCTCCTGGCAGCTCGCAAGCCAATCACCCTGCTCCCGAACCAATAGTCCTTAATATAAAGGTGAACCAAGTTGCTCCGTATAAAATACAGCCAAACCTTTTGACCAGACAGAGCCCCATTCCAGGAACTTATTTGCACAATGCCAGAGACGTTATCACACCGGRCTCGAAAGCGCTAACGTTAAGGTGCATTTCCATTCAGAAAATGATAAATCAAGGAACATGAGCTCTCTAGCTTCAAGGGAATGAAATTTCTCTATACAATGTCATACAGCATAACTACAGTTTTTTTCTTAGAAAACACATTGTTTTCTTACACATAGTTTTGTGCCCGTTCTCTGCCCTCTGGCAAAAAATATATATATAAAAAATAAATAAAAGCCACACTGAGCTGGTCAAACCTGCTCCCAGTCATGGCAGGGAATCAGGCTGCCTGTCGCCCAAATAACCGATCTGTATTTTAACCTCCTGCTCCCTGTGCTCATTTGGATACTGCCCAAAATCCAAAAGGGAAAAAGCCGGGAGGAACATTGGGCCGCAATTGCTCTTGTCACAGATCCGTTCCCCGAATGCTTCGTACGCCGTTGCACGAGGCTCGCAAGCACAGCACCAGCAAATTTGTAATAACCTGGTCAAAAGCAGCAAAGGACATTTCTGGACATCTGGGAGGCAGGGGTAATTGCTTCTAATGGTATTTGAAAAGAAAAATATAAAGCTTTCAGCTCTAACCTAAGAGGCATTTAGACTCATCTGCAGACATTCAGCATTTGATCTGTACAGACTATCGAGCTTGCAGATACTCAGCATTTCTGCAGTACTCAGGCTCTTAGCCTGCATTTCACGTGTCTKTCTTTCCTTCTTTCTTTCCTTCCTTTCCTTTCAGTTATCCCTGAAATTCRGCAGCATTCGGACAAGCTGCTGCCTTCCAGGGCCCCCACAGCAGCTGGGCTGCCCCGAAGGCCCTGCGGCCACCGCAGGTGGAAGGGGAAGAGGAGACTTTTACAGCGGCACCTGCAGAACGGGCTCTATGGGTCACTAAATACATGCACATATATATGTATATATATATATATGTGTGTGTGTGTGTGTATATAGGAAGATGCGCAGGAAACGCGCGGCGAGCAGCGGCGCCCCGCGCTCAGCGCCGCGGCCACACGGGGGCGCTGCAGACCCCGCCGCGGGGACCGTGCGCGCGGGGGACAGGCGGCCGGGGCGGGGCCAACGGGGCCGGGGGCGGGGCCAGCGGCGCGCGAAGGCGGGGCCAGAGGCAGTCGGGGGCGGGGCCACCCGGGGGGGGGGCCAGTCGCGGGCGGGGGCGGGGCCAGCGGCGGGGGCGCTCGCGCGGTGTCCGCGCCCGCGCGGTGTCCGCGCCGTGGGCCCCGCGTGTCCGCGGTCCCGCCCGCGCCCAAGGACCCCGCTCACCCACCGGCCTCCGCCTTTTAAGGCAAAACCCCCTTAGCACGTTAAAAAGCAGGGGGATTTTTGGCTCAGAGATCTGTTTTCCTTGCTAGGACCCTAAGAACTTACATATCTACAAAAACACTCCCCATAAACCCACAAAGCTCAAACAGGGGGCAAGGCCTTGCCCAGACTGCCCCCAGACACGACGGCAAAGCGAACACGTCGCCGCTGCTGGGCCCGGCCGCGGGGACCGGTCCCCAGTACCGGGCCGGGAGATGCTCCGCAAAGGCAGCCGCTCGCCGGGGGGCTGGAGGGACCCCCAAGAGGTGCCTGGCCCCGTATCCAGCCCGCGCTCCCCTAAAACCCAAGCAGCGGCCATGGAAAACCGGGAGATCTACTAGTTCAACAGACAAAACATTTTTAAAAGTCTTCAAGAGGTCTGCGCAGAATACATTACATGGGAAGTGTCTCATCAGAGGTACTTATCATTATAATAGTACTTAGCACTTCCACAGTGCTTCACAGCCTCTCAGCACAGTACAAACATTAGCTTCTTAATCACTCATTAGGGACGAGCCTATGGAACAGGGCTATGGCTCATTGAGTAAAGTCATCCCCAACTCGCGCCGTCCCTCTTGCTCCCTCCACCAGGGACAAGTTTAAAGGTTCACTCAGATTCCTATGGGAAGTTCCGATCAAGCCAGGAAAAGGCAGCTGAGGATGAAAATGAGCAGCCACTGTGTTCCCCTGCTCCTCCATCTCAGCCAGGGAAATCTGCTTCCATTAAAGTCTTGAATTAATAAACTTGGGAAATTCAGGAGGCATGAGATAACAGCCGCTCCGTTTGCTTTGGGATTACGCCTAAGGACACTTGTTGCAAAATAGGCCTAGGACTGAAAAAGCCACAGGAATGATAAGTATGTTCCTAAAAGGGGCCGACTGGTTCCTCTGGCCACTTCCCYGGGTTGCTCATGGAGAGCAACCATGTGGAGCTGGAGAGAAAAAAGCAAATAGAGAGACAGAAAATTGTTCTGATGGTGCGTTTACAGACCAAGGCAGGGCAAAGAAAAGGTTCCTCAAAATCCTGTGTTCGACCTCTGCCCCCACCTTCAGTCTTGCCAGTTCAGGCTCCCAGGTGTCTGACTTCAGTCAGCCCGAATTGCGCAGCTTTCCCCCCATACGAACACGGCCAACCCCGTGATGCCCATGCAAGGTAGAACTTCCCAGGACAACTCATTTGAATACAACTGGTCTCAAGGCCAGTAAATAGTTTTGTGTGTGCTCTCAATCTCCTTGCCATTCTTCCATGTGGGCCTCCTTCCACCGAGGCTGCCATTCCATATTTGGGAGCGCTCCGTGGTGCCAAGTGCTCGCAGGTCTCGCGGGCGCTGGGTCCAACGCTGCCCCTCGGGGCTGCCAGAAACCACCACTCAAAGTTAGCAAAGCAAATACCTCCGCAGACAAGCTCAATAAACACACCAGGAGAAACCCTAGGCTTCATAGAGACAYAGCTTGCCTGACGAGGCCAAGCTTGAGGTCTTCAGCACCCTTTCATGTCCCATTTAGTCCAACATCCATTATCCTTGTCACACATTCCCTGTCCACACTCTGCACATCATATCTGCATGCGCAGATTCCTTAAAACAACCAATCTCCAGCTCCACACCCCTCTGCTGGACACAATTACTTGCTAACTATCAGGCCAACCTTGTCTCTAATCAGTCTAAATGAAGCTATTTATTTCCTAGCATGAATCAATATATTTGGCAGACAGGCGCATGCTGTGCGAGGGAGCCAACCCCAGTGCCCAGCAGGTCTTACAGCCTCATCCCAAATAAAGCCTCATTTCTCTGCCTTCTTCACTGGTGACTAATAATTCACTAACAAGCGTGGGAGCAGACATAAAAGAGTGGAAAAGGAGAAGAGGAGGGACTGAAATGGAAAATGAAACAGGAAGGACGAGGGCAGGGGAGAAAGTTCGAGAGCAGGGGGAAAAATGTGAGTAAAAGGGGAGGAAAAGCCAAGATCCAAAGGAAGGGGGAGATGGAGAGCGCGACCCCAAAGCAGTCCAGCCTTCACAAGGCACTGCAGATCACCATGAGAAGATGAGAACCACCTCAGCTCTGCCAGCTTCGCTTCCAAAAGTAGATCACAGAGCCCCTTGGGCAGGTTCTGCTCTTTGCCAGCACTGTGATCAATCCCAAACGCAACCACGAACTTCAGCCAGCTCTAGTTCACACGGAAAGAATCAGAAATACATCTGACTTCAGCAGTCAGATATGAATATGAAATTAAATTCAGGAGCACCAGGAGACTTTATAGTGGCTGATAAAAGGGATACCAGTTAACAAAATGCAAAACACAGCTCCAGTATTACAAGACACATGAAAGACAGCAAGAAAATACTACTGAATTCCACTTAGCCTTCCATCGCCTTCACTCAAGGACTTCAGAAAACAGACTCACCCTCATCCTGGAAGTCTGATGGAAGGGAAACGTCAGATGTCATGGAAGGGGCCAAACTCCAGCTTTGATTTTCATCGGAACTGTCCCGTCCAAAGGAAGCATCATGCRGATCCTCTCCTAGAAAGGAGCAGAGAACCTGGGTTTAGTGGAGAGGACATATTTGCAAATCCAGATCTTACCACCTACACCAAAATRTGTTTCCTGTGGGTTCTAACCTTCCACTGAAGCATTCTGCAAAACCCCAATCTCTCCTGGGGTGCAAGGCCAGCTTCAGCATTTAGGAGCACAGAGGCCTAGCCCTGCTCCCCAAATGGCCCATGCGCTTGGGGAGGATTCGGGCAGGAGGCCCCAAAGAGCAGGGACCAAAGCCCCGGAGCCGCGTTCAGATCCCGCTCCTCGTGCGGCGCCACCGCGGAAAGCGCCCGCTGCAGAAGGAGGATTCTGCAGCGCCACTATATCCAAGAATCTGCTTATATTATAAAGAAAGAGGTTTGAAGCAAATCCATGTGGGGAAGCAGGAGCTACTGCCTCACCACACGCCGTGTTTCATTTCATATTTCTGGGAACATTTTGCTCGAGCTTTTGCTGCTAAAGCTGGATTTTATGCAGAGGGCAGTTAGATATTATAGAGATAGATACAATATACCAAATTCTACTATAAATGGGGTGCTGCTAGATACCCTGCTTGCAGAAGAAGATCCTGCTCAGCTCAAACAGCACCCAAGACTTGTCTTTCAAGCTTTGCCTTGTTTCCTGAATACACACAACCCCGGGCAGCTGATAAGGGAGGCAAAGCCAGCTGCTTATTCATTCAACACACAACAAACAGGGAAAAAAAAAAAAACCAAAGAAGAAAAAAGGGGGATTTCAGCTGATTTTAATTGTGCTCAAACACTAAGCTCCAAACCAGTTTTATCTCAGCAAACAAACGGGCTGCATTCGCAGCTGAAATGAGGTGCTGATGAAAAGGCACCRAGAGGCTGGGACTGGGGGCTGCAGCCCTCGTTTCCCCCAGGAAACCAGCGGAGGCCCCCAAAAGTCAACAGCTGAACAGAGGCTGGGAAAACATTTGGGAGGTGTTTTTATTTTGAACACCCAGACTGCAACGTTGTTCGAGCACRAAGTTTTCCAAGGTCCCCACGCAGGCACCAAGGACAGATTTTCAGGAACCCTGCAGTTCTGCACCAAAAGCAGGGTGGCTGTGGGCAGCGGGGGCCGYACAAACCTCTCCTGCCGCAAACTGGGTCCCCCAGAAAAGCCGCCGCGGGTGCCGGACCCTGGGACAATGCAGCTGGTTACTGTAAACTGAAACGTGCTGAAAAACACCACGGAAAACCTGGCTGCAGAAGATTTGCCCACRGCCTGTGGGGGTCAGCGGCAGAACAGAGCAGCTCCTGGCGCTTGGTCCCTTCTCCTCTACAGCCTCYGCGCCYGAGGAAAAGGCCACGGAGCAGCACRGTAGAATCAAGGGGGTTGCTAACRCCACRCTCCCTTGCCTCCAGCATGCAAGCACTTAACACCAGATTCATGAGAAAATAAAAAAGGAGGAAAGTTGTTTTCAGAATTTCTTTAGGAACTGCATCATCCGAGCTCTGCCCATCCGTGGGCGCACCCCCGGGAAGCCTCCGTGGGCCCAACCTCTTCCCTGTTTTACCGCAGCTYGTAGAGATCCTCACATCAAAGGGCTCCAGAACTCTATACAAGAGGCTGCCAAAGGGCCAYAGCTCGTTGTCCGACGCAAAACTCGGCGTTCATCCCAATGCGGAGCCCCCCAAGCTGCACTGGTGCAGGCCTGGCTCTGCAGCGAGGTCGGGCACCAGCGTTTGCAGCCAGCCCCAGCCCACCCGGCCCTGATCTGTTAAGAGAAGGTTTTCTTTCAAGCAAACTGCACGGGATTAAGAAAAACGGGCTTTTCGAGCAAGCCTCAAGGTACCAGGTGTTCCCTTCTAACGAGCTACAGGTGCAGCATTATTGCAATAACGAGCAAACTGGTTGTGGGTTCCCGGCTGTGCAGCAGAACGGGTGGAGCAGGAGCAAGGGCCCAGGCGCCAGAGCTGCCCCAGAAGAACCCGCTGCCTTTCCCAGCAGCAGTAGCTGTCGATCCCATAAAGCACGGGGGAAACAGGCCCGTTTTGGGGATGCATTTCCCAGGCAGCGTTATAGCRGGAGAGAACGTACGGAGCGGCCGCCACTGCAGCCGTGGGCTTCCTTGCTGCCGCCTCCCACTGCCCACATGGAAGCTGCAACTGGCTCTTCCCAAGCGTTTGCAGGCACAGACCCCGCACAAGCACACACGGGCCCTCCGTGCACATACGTGCATCACACCGAGTGCTGTGAGGATCTCTGTGGCGCACGCCATGGTCATACAAATCTATGCAAGAAAACATTTGGTTTGTGTTAGGACGAAGAGTGCTTTCAAACACAGCCATGAGATTCACAGAAGATTAGCAAAACCCTCTGCAACGAAGCTACTTAAATCCCATTTCCTTCCCATTTCGATTTACATTATGAGAAACAACTTCTTGGGCTTTAATCCACTTCGCCATAAAGTTTATGGAGCAGCAACAGCTAGTTGAGTCCAAGCAGAAAAAATAACCAGCAACTTGTCAGGGGCCAACCTATTGTTCTCAATGAAGAAAAAACTCATTAGCTTTTAATGAAAACACAGGGAATAAAAACCAAATAGCAGAGAACACCAGAAAATAATTATCCTGCACCTGACGCAAAGCTGCTCTTCCTTCCTMCTCAAACTCTCAGCAAAATTCCTCAACTTGTCACCCTTTGGAGCATGACCAAAGGCAAGACTGACTCCAAAGGGCAGAGCAGGAGGTTTTCCTGGGCGCGCTCCTCATGCAGGGCATCCCTTGGCACTATCTGGCTAGCAGTGCATGTGCCAAATCCTCTGCCTTGCTGCTCCGTGCCTCTTGTGGTGCCACGAGGTGGAACGTGGGCAGCTCTCGGCCGCTCGCGGTTTCTTGCAGGGCAGCAGGCAGGAGCGCCCGGGCACGGGGAGCCAGCAGCAGCTGGACCACAGCCCCGCTGCAGCGTCACAAAGCGCCTCCGTGCCCGTCAGAACACAGGGACAGCGATACTTAATCATAGAATCATAGAACGCTTAATCTTTAAAAGCAGGATCTCCTGTGGAGAGCTCAAGTGTCAAGGCCAGACTCTTCCACGTGCAAATGGCAAAGTTCTCCCTTCTCCGAGCTGCAGTTTGCCCATCGAGGGAAGGTGGGGAAAAAAGCTACCGCATCCCGGCCATGCCAGGAGGAGAACGGGTCTGAGCAGGGGAAGGGCTGAGGGCAGGTGCGTGAACCAGCGGCAGCAGCTTGCTAAGGAAACAGTAATTCACCTTGCTTTGCATGCAGTGAGGGCCTCCGTCCCGGTACCCACGGTTTCATTAASCATCTTTCCAGATGATAATAAAAAATACCAAGCGAGTTCTATTTAGGCCTTTGTGATAAGCTGCTTTGTGCCAAAGCGGAAGTAAAATCCCCAACTCCGCTTAATATTCAAGGAAACGAAGTTCCTGCCTCAGAGTAATGACTCCTCGTATCGTACTACAAATAAAGGTCTCTGATCCAAATCCCATCTGCCTTCATGCTTGACAGTGTTAATATCCCTAGATTTTCAGGGACTAATTTAGCAGTAATGCATTTCCCAAAGCAGAGCAGTAAAAGTATTATCAATACTATGGTTTAATATCCCTTATACAATCACTCGCTGAAATTATGGAGCATCACATGGAAACACATCAACAGAGACGCGCCCACACAGTAAGTACTGCTCATATGTAAATATATTATAGCTTAGCATTTGTAATGTTGTAGTTAAAGCTCTGTCAACATTGCCATTATAAATTATATACCTTTTTAAAGACATTTATGTGCTCGAAAATGTATGATGTTTCTTTTTTTGAATGCCTTAAAGGCTTCATCAGCTCCTAAGTGCCCATTTGGATTTGTGTGGTTAGCCCCGGTGCTGAAGGCGCCGCGAGCTGCGGTTTAGGCGGGCGCAGCYTTTCCCTCGCACCTTCTCCATGCGGAGCACGGACCTGCCCCTTGCCGTGCCCAGGCTCATCCCGCCTGCCCCAACGCCCTTTTCCGTTTGGCTTCGCACCCTGCTGCGCCCACGGCTCCCTCCTGTGCCCCGGCCACAGACAGAGCCGTGTTGGAGCTGCCTCATGAACTGCGGGGAATGACCCGCTCTGGCTGCAGAGCCCGGGGCCRTCCTGGCCGGGCGGCTCCGAGCGCAGGGGCCGGCTCCGCGGCCGCGGGTTGGACCAGCGGGGCCGCCTGCCTCGCGGCGCCCCGGTCAGGGGCGAGCGCGGCCCTTCCCGCCCCACAGCAGCCCATTTATCACCGTTTTCAAGGCGTCCCCCCCAAACAGGCCTTGGCCAGCTGACAAGTGAATCCGGTCCAAGACTAATTCCGCTCGCTCGCTCCCTAGCTTTTTACTAATTACACGTAGTAAAAGCAAATTAATGGTCCGCTGGGGCGGGCGGCGCGGGGCTGCAGTGCTGCCGGGCGCCCAGCAGGTCGGGCTGCAGCGTCGCATGCGAGCGGGAGGCTGCAGCGCGGCATGCGGGGGGAGGCTGCAGCGGCGCATGCGGGAGGCGCCGCCACCACCTGCGGCGCGGGGGGGCCTCCCTCGAGCCCCCCAAACCAGGGAAGCCGCCGCTTCCTACCTGCACCACAGACCCGACCCCTCCTGGAAGGGGCAGGGGAGGGAATCCAGGCACTGCCAAGGGCATCGCGGGTGATGAAAAGCAAAGCGGAATTGCTCTCGGAAAGCAATTCACCTTTTCCGAGTCAGGTTTGGCAGGACAAATCCAAAGAGGGCTCGGGAGCTCCGAGCAGGCTGGGGTTAAGTTATTTCTCCCTTCTACCACATGCTAAAGAAACTTTGTGACTACATGGGCCAAGTAACCTGGAAGCTATTAATTCAAACCTTTAAACTCTATACACTTACATGTAGATTATAAAAATCTAGATTTAAAAGCTATACAGGGCATTCAAATCAAAGCCTTGCAGCCAATGGGGGAATTCTTTTTAAATAAGCCAACCACCCCTGCACAGAAAACCCCACTCCACCGTCCGGTAACTTGTTCCTCCTAA